GAGAGAGAGAGAGAGAGAGCGCGCACAACAACAGAACCTTGAGTCTGGGTTCCCGAGCTGCGACCACTGGAACTCCGCGAAGTCAAGCCAGGCGGTTGCATCACCTCTGCAGTGAGCAACATCCAGGAGGGGTTTAGGGTTTAGGGTTCACAACACATCTCGGAAACACTGGCCCAGCCGAAGTTTGGCGAGCATAGATGCTCTGCCCTGTTTAGTTAGAGTGCGCTCTCCTTTCAACAGAATTTTCGTGATGAGAAGTCCCCAACCAGGCAATCTAGGCACTGCTCTCTCCAATCCACAACGAACCCGCCCCTTAAACCCTAAACGCCACATACCCATGAGTAGAACATATGATTTTGAAAAACCCCCCCACATTAACACTGAACCTCCACAATGAACAAAAACTCAAGCCAAGATCCCGAAATGCCCAAAAACCCTCCTAAACGCTAAGCCGCTAAACATCCGCAATGTCCAACAATGAGCAATGCCATCATCCCCTAAGATTCATAGCAGTCCCATGTCCTAAACCCCAACCCTACAGCACGGCTTCAGCACATGAGAACTTTGAGCATCTCCGAGCCGAGCCTTCCGACTTCTGGCAGCGCTCTCGGAGGGCTGCAAGGCGTGCCTCAGTCGGCTTTGGGGGAGCCCAGTCCATTGCGGGTTGCAGGGACTGGGGGCGGCTGTCGTGCTTCGTACCGCTTGCGCCGAGCTGCATGACATCCTAACTTGCAGTTTCCACAATGCCCTTGCCTCGAATGACCGATCTGCAACAGCCGCTGCATGGTGCAGCATTGAATTAAAAAGTCAGAAGTCAAAATAAAGGGTCGTCTGACTGCGAGCGACATGACGCCAGCTTCTGGTGTACGTTTGTTTCAGTACCTACGGACCTCCGCCACTAATTCAGGCAAAGCTCTACCCGAACAAACGTGCATAGACCGCCCTCTTGTCCCACCCGCTACATAGGCTGCCCTCATCCCAGAGGGTCTTGAGTCAGCATTCCGCGGCTACTGGAGACTGCCCTGCATTATGTACAAGCTGGGTGCACTGAACTTGAGATGGGAAGAATGCTTCAGGAATTCCAGCCAACAATAAGCCTTGCAAGCATGTCAGTATGAATCCTGAGGCGATGGCATTTCTGCAAGCGGTTCCCCAGCTAGGTGCACGCAGCCTCGGTAGACACAGAAACAATTAAGCGAGCTTCGCAGGGAGCGGGGCGGCATCACGCGCGGTTTCAAACTCCCACAACCCGGATGATGCAGAAAAAGGCTTCGTGGTTCGCCGGTTCATCTCGTCAGAATGGTTTTTCAATCGAAATCACTGAAAACGAAACACCTTGGCTGCGGATGAGCTTCAACCCCCCTTGAAATAACGGTAGAAGGATACCAAGCAATAAGCTTGTCACGGGCCCAGTGGGCATCACCGGTGGGTGCCGGAAGATGCTTTTGCAAGTGCTCATCTGACTCGTGGGGTCAGGGAAAAGAGGGCAGCAGGCCCAAGGCGGGAAACCAAAAGCCCAGCGGCCCAGCACTTCTGGGCAGTCGAAAGCTGATCCTACTGACACCCGCCACGGGCCGGGATCAAGGCTCGGCCGCATCAGGTCACTTGGAATCCGATGCCACAAGGCCGTGATTGTCGAAGAGGTCGATGTTTCGATTGTTTGCGCGATGCGCTTGTGGCAGCCCCGAGCGAGCAAGCTGAAGAGATACGGAAGTGCAGGACTCGTCATGCTGCAGGGCGTGATCACACTAATCCAGAACGGCAATTCGATGTCGTACATACAGCTCGAGCTGGATGTACAACGCCTGCAGAAGGAAGGTGCGAGGATATCAGAGCCGTGCTTCCATCCTTGCACCACCTGTTTAATTGGTGTGGACTCGTCAGGCTAAGACGGCCATTCGGCAAGATGCCCAGCGAGACGCAGAAAATGTGTCTATACTTCAAGCCGCGCTCATCTGCATGCTGCAAGTCAGGGGCCCGGCCCGGAAGCTGAGCGTGCTTGCAAGATAGTTGCGGGGGTCGGACAGGTCTGGCTGGAAGAGACAGAAACCAAAGAAGGCCTGGAGTGGGAGCGACGAGAAAGTCCCCCCCCCCCCCCCGCAAGAAGTACTAGGTCTTGGTCTACTTCACTCACGCAGCTTTCCTGCGGCGACTAAGAAAACTCATGTGCACTCTTCCCGGCAGGCTTCACCCCTGACCTTGACGCTCTTCGCGTCGATATGTAGCGTGCGCCGACAAGCTCTTGGCTTCCCAGAGCTTCTTGGTTCGCAGAGATATCACGAGCCGTCAGAGGCACAAACCCTGAGCCACAGCCACCAGTGGACGGTGCATTGCCGGGCTCGCATCGCATGGCACTTAGACAGCTTCTTTCAGAGAGTACAGCGCAAGAGGGGCTCAGTTGCAAGGGGCTAGCGATGTTTGTTTTAAACGCAATGTATGTTAATCAAACGCCATGTGAAGCTGGACCGCACATTGCTACTGCTGCTTTCGAAGTGATGGTGTGATATCTCTGTAACTTGCCGCAGCCAGAGTGTTGCATGTTGGTAGCTAGCACGAACCTCGGCTGTACTTTTCCGATGCTTGCTCCGCATCATGGTAGAAGAAGGTACCTTCATGCCAGACAGACCCACACCCTGACCTTCCGGCGAGCCTTGGCATAACAATTTGCTGCTGGGCAGCTGCGCTGCTGTCGGCATGATTGGCAAGAAATCCGGCCTCAAACAGGATGTAAGCTGAAGCAGTGCTGGTGGTGTCATGACAACAACTTCTGCCGCGGTCGTCCTTATAGATTATTTTACAGATATGCAGGCACTGGCGGTGGCGGTGGCGGTGGGGGCGGTGGTGGTGGTGGTGGTGGTGGTGGTGGTGGTGGTGGTGCTGGTGGTGGTGGCGGTGGTGGGGGTGGCGGTGTGGGGTGTGGGTGGTAGGGGTGGGTGGCTGGGTGGTGTGGGTGGGTGGGTGGGTGGGTGGGTGGCGGTGGGCGGTGGGGGTGGCGGTGGCGGTGGCGGTGGCGGTGGCGGTGGCGGTGGCCGTGGTGGTGGGGGTGGCAGTGGTGGTTTTGGTGCTGACGTTGCTTCTACTTGTGCATCTGGTATTCGTGGTGGTAGTGACGCTGGCTTTGAGGGTTGGCGGCTGGTACCTGCTGTCAGCGGTATCCTTGCCTTCGTTGTGGATGTTTTTGGCGTGGTGTTGTGGGCACCGTTTTGGCACTGGTATCCCTACAAGCAATCAGATAGTCATGCCGCTGTTACAAGGATATTGGTCTCCTCTTTCTCCCCCTTCCTGTGGTCAGTGGCATGGTCAACACCGCCCTTCCACAACAACAGCGCCTGACTATATCACCATCCTCGATGCCATCAGCTCACCGCTAGCAGCACTAGCTCATCGCTACTGATCGTCATGTCCATCGCATCGGCCGACATCATCACCGTGGTCGCCATAGCAATTACTTCCGCAACATCTTCTTACAACTACTGCTCTGGCATGTCATGCTGCCACTGATATATCCCCAGAGCGAAACATACAAACAGCACTGAGAGCTCTGCTCCGGTAACTCTGCCTCGGCTCTAGTCCCGTTCGGGGGTTTTGGAGTTGCTGGGTGCACGGTTGTGACCTTGCTGAACCGAGATGATAAGGAGAAGTCTACATGAGCGTCTGAGCGGGTGCTTAGGCACAGCAGCCCGATGTGGATGCGCAAGATCGGCCTAGAAGGCCTTGGGTCGGGTCGGGGCTTCAAGGTTTCCGGCTATAAAAGTCCAATGCCAAGTTTAGCCTGACGGCTTTCCTCCGACTTAACGGCTCCGCAGGCCGAGGCGGAGGAGGACACTGTAGAGGTGTGACCCGCGTACCCAGGCTGAGGTCTAGGGTTTAGGGTCAGAGGGAACGATTCAAAGATTTCAGATTCAAAGGAGGGGCTTCAGACTCAGCTGGAGTTTGAAATTATATTGGATGTGCTGCAGGCGATCATGTTTCGGGTTTTGCTCATTGGCAGTGGCTCCGCCTGCTTGGCGGCTCCGCAGCGGCTCTGGGGCTGTGATGCGCTGTCGCAATGTCCCAACATGTGGAAAGCTAGAGCAACAGCAAAAGCTGTATAAACAAGCCCGCCATGGCAGCGTCAAAATCAAAAGTCCTCCTCTGTGACTGGCTCCCATTTGAAGCTGAGCTCGATTCCGCGTCCCAAAGTGAAGGAAAAGGGCTCGGTATACTTGTGGAACTGGTGCAGAGTATAGAGGCCGCACAAACCTGGACCAGTATACCATCTCTTGGCCCTGTCGCTCGTCTGCAAACCTTGGATTGCCAAGGATTGGTTCTTGATGTTCATGAACGCAATCTCGTTCATATGTAGTTCTCGTGGTAGGCAATCTCCATGCCACAAGTGAAGGGGGGTAATGACTGTTCTTCCCTCTCAACGCCTCCTTGCTCGTTCCCGATCTTCGTCACGGAGGTGCCTGATCTGCCAGCGTAGAAGAGGACTAGCTGGTCCACATGTGCGCCGGTACGGCCCCCGGCCTTTTGCACCGAGCCTTTGCCGGCCTCTGATCTGGATGAGTGTAGGCCCCCACTTCCTTGGCGTTCGTGTTCACAGCGCCCATGATGAAGCTGGAGTACGGCCCAAGATAGATCATCTCGCGGAAGAAAGGTTTTCGTTTTGGGGGATCGTCAGAGCGGCCCGGCAGGCGCCGGTGAAGAGTGGTGTAGCTCTTCCGCATGGGCGCCAGCTCGCCCACGAAGATATCCCGCTTGAGAACCAGCATAGCCGCATCCTGGACCTCGTCCCTCTTCGCCTGCAGATTGTTCCCAAGCTTGCGCTTCGCTCGGGTGAGACGGTCCTCCCACTTCAAGGCGCCCTTCTGCATCGAGAAATCGATCTTCTCCGAGCGCCACTCCCAGAAGGCAGCGATAATGTCTTGCAAAGTCGCAGTGCAGTTCTCATAGACGCGATTCATGCGGTTCCGCACTTCCGTGCTGTTCATGATAGAGCCGGGAACTTTCATGGTACCTTCCTTGGGAGCTTTTTGGGGATCTGAGATGCTTGGCTTCCAGTTCTCGAAAAAGACCACGAGCTCGTACTCGGACAATAGTCAGGGCACTCGAAAAGGCCAAGAGGTAGCTTGCGATGGCTCCATATTTCACGGGGCTGAGCTTGATTGCGTGCAGAGCATCTCGACCTTTGAACTGGCCACTCTCGAGAGCTCGGAGGCACGACATAAACCTGTCACTTGGGAAGACAGCAGCCCCCATCGCTTCCATCCTCAGGTTCTCCACACCAATCTGGTAAATGCCCATCTGGACTTTTACAGCATCGAGATCGGCGCTGACATTGCCGTTAAAACTCTTGATGAGCTCTTGCGCCACATAGTCTTTTTCGACATGGTCTTTTGTCCATTGTAGGATGAATTCCACCAGCGCTCTCGTGGAACGTCCGGAAGGCCAAAATATGGAAAGGAGAGCACTCGCGAGCTGGCCTAGGGCTCCTGGAGTTGCCAGTCTGCCCGCCAGAGCAACAAATTGGTTGAGCGCATTCAGCGGCAACTGCTTGGCCCATTCATTGTTCCACCGTTCCATGTAGTCCGGAACATCTCCTCTCAGAGGCATTTGAGCCTGCCGTGCCAGCAATTTAAGCACTCCTCATCTGAGGCTGAGGTGTTGGTCCCATGGACCAAGCCAATGCAAAGAGCAAGTTGAAAGGCGAGCATGGAGAAGTACTTGTTCTTGAGAGAACTGGACATCTGGACATCAGCACAGCTTGATGAAACCCCTTGAGCGAAACATCGCATCCAAGCTGTAGACAGACACAGTTCGCATTCAATTTGCAAGAGGACCAAATGCAAAATGGATGAGGGATCCAAAAAAATATTCTGGGCATCAAAAGCAAAACATTCCGCGGGTCTCAAAAACAAGTGGCTTAAGGGATCTAGAAACTCTGTCTCGCAGAGAAAGGGGAGCCCGGAGACCTGGTGAAAGCCTTGTCAAAACCCTGGCTATGTTTTGCTTCTTGCCGTCCTCTTCCCTTGTTTCTGCTGCCCTCGATGCAAGGGCTCGAGTCTATGTCTATGTCTGGTTGGACGCGGCACGATTGGTTTCAGATGACGGTTAGGACCAGCTACATATTCAAAGATTTACAAGCATGCACACATGATGCTATAGAACAAACAAACACAACCGTATTTGGGGGGAATGTAGGTCGGCAAGTCGGTGTAGGTGGTATAGGTGCACTTGAAGTAGGTTGGTCGGTGTACCTACCTACCTGCTTCCTGCCTGCCTGCGTGCCTGCCTGCTTGGCTAGCTAGCTCGCGACCTGCGTGACCTACCCAACCTGCTACGGTAAGAGCGAAGCGCAGAGCACGACGACGATTAGGTGGCCGCATCACCATGATAACCATCACCATCGGGATCACGAGTCATCACGATCACATTGATTATCCGCGACTCTGAAGATGTCCCTGGTGAGGAACATTGTTGAACACTATCAAGACAAAACAACCGTAAGCATGGCCGTCTCTCCAGATTCATGCTCTCGCCACCTTCTCCGGACTCGGCAGACTTTTAGGACGTTTCGAAACTCCAGAATCACCAACGAGGGACTGGTGTAAGATGCTGAAAGCTGCTGAAAGTCGAACCCATTCAACAGCTGATGGTTAAGAAGCGGGATTCATGCACCTGACACTCCAAGCGAATGGTTTTGACGGATTCCTGGATGCTTCTCTAGGCCCCAACCTGGAAGGTGCTAAGTTGTGCAGCAGCGACGGCCGCCGCCTGACACACGATGCGACACTGTTCGCGCCACAGTCGAGATTTCTGCTCGCTGGATCTCCCGTGTGCTAAATTTTCGAAGGTCAATACGTCACAGAATACATACGCATTACACAATTGCTCTAGCATCATTTCGGAATTGGGACGAGGGCCTGGGAACATATCTTGAACAGTTGCCTGCCTCCTCTGCCCGTGTTTCCTGCTCTTCGGGGTCCCCTCCGCTGACTTCATGGACATGACATGCCATCCGGTCCGACCTGCCAAGAATCTGGCGATGTGACAAACTCCTGGCACGAGAAGCTTGCAGGATGCACGGCGATTTAGCAGCTGCACGGTGAAGAGGTCCCGAAGAAGAAGCTACCCCATTATGTTATCATGCTCCGACGTGCAGTCTCCGATGTGCGCATCCATCCTACTCACAACATGCGCAAACACTAGCTCCGACACCAATCCGCAAATCTCTGCCTGCTTCGGTGCCGAGATGCTTTGGAAACTGTTGGGCCACGGAGCTCATTGCTTTCCATTTTGGCTTTCTGTCTCTCAACTAATTTGTCGGAGTTTGGAGGCTCATGAGTCCCGTGCCGAGGACGAACCCAGAAAAGCTGTGGCGTTCTGCGGAAAGCCAACATTCTTGCGAGCTTCGCAAGGTCTGAGCTCCTTCTCTGGTTTCCGACCAGGGCTCAGGGCTCAGAGTCTATAGATAGAAAGAAAATAAAGAAATATCGATATATAGATTGATAAATAGATAAACACAATCAGGAGCTGAGTCACTTAAACAATGGGGTCCTGGACATCGGTCGTTACAGCCTGCTGCACCCCATGTCGAAATAATTTTGAACCTAGAGCTTCTTACAGCCCTTTGCAAACCCCTCCTAAACTCGACTCCAGAAGCCCAAAACAATTCAAATGTGGCAAAACCCACTATCCCGATCTGTAATGACTTCAATGCAGCACCAGCCCAACTTCTTTGTTTAGCAAGCCGTCTGGCCCTCTGGTTGGTTCTTCTTGAACTGCCACGTGCCTGCTCGGGCCTTTTGGCAACCTTGCGGAAGAAGCGGCGTCTTGGGGGTGCATCGTCGGCCTGGCACGGTGAAGGGCGAGCATAGGATTCAGGGCAGTGGGGTTTCACAGTGCAGTTGTGTGGCTGTTAGATCTTCATCATGGCTTTAGACCTCCTGCGTTTTGGGCCTGTTGAAACCTAGCCAAGGAACTCTTCGTCCCACTCGGGGCACTGCTTCAAGAAATACTNNNTGGCGCCGTGACGGACGGCCATGCCCATTCACACTTGAACTTCAGAACTTCAGGCAAGCCTTAGTGACCTAGTGGTGAGTTCAAGAAGGAAAATCTTGTGGGAGGTCTCTCAAGAGGCTCGGGCTACCTTGCGGCTGATTTACTATGAAAGAAGCCAAGCATCACCTGTGATCTTGCACTCGCAACTGGTCCACTCGTCAGTGAAGCATGCTCAGCGACTATTTCCAGGATGAACCAATGCACAGCTTGTAGAATTGACTATGTCGCAAACGTTCTGCAGGTACACGAGTCAGCGTCCTGACTCGCTTCGCAAATGCAATGCTGGCGTCTTCGTTGGTGCCAGTCCAGCATGCATCCCTGGCACCCCCTGCATTTGTATCATCGTAGACACTCCCGTTGCAGTTTGGGTTCCCCACACACACAAAGCGAGAGAGAGAGAGAGAGAGAGAGAGAGGTCGAGCAACCCAATATCATTAACCCTGGAGTCGTAGCCTCGTGTGCCACCCAATGGCGAAACCGCCGACGGCGCAACGAAGCCGCACCGTGAAGCGATCTTAGCAGGTTTTGCATAACGGCCAAGCAACTCGCCTGTAGGACACGAAGCCCGATGGAGACAAGTCGTAAGCCTACTGCTGGCGATCCCTCTTTAGGTCACTGCACTCGGCACATGTGGTGGGAGCGGGGGCATCAGTCTTTAACTGCTACTAGAATCACTGGCTGCCCTCGTCCATTCAGACTCGCGGCCGCCGCGGCAGTGGCACGACGTCTACCGGGAAAGCCTCCCCAAAGCCGATGGAAGAAGGCTCGGTGCTCTTCGGCGCTTTTGGTGGACTAGCCGAAGCTCCGCCATGTAGTTAGGGATCTGAACTCTACGCCGGGTAAGATCTTGCAGCTTAGGGCAGGGTCTCGGCAGCTTCAGGTGCGATGCCTTGGAAGCTTCATAGACCTTGGCCTAGTGCGACTCTATCGAAAGATCTGGAATCTAGAATCGAGAACCCCGAATGCCTGACATGCCCCAGCTTGTCAACTTGTCATCCGGACCAGCTGGCCTCTTCGAGCAGTGCACCGTGGTTGTCCTTCACACCGATCAAGCCCACAGCATCCTGCCCGACAGCATCAGAATTTCAGACTCAGGGGCATTGGATCTCCAGCCTAAATCTTCGGTGTGTCGGGTTTAGCCTTTGCAGGGCCTAATATAACTTATCCGCCGACCCCTGCTGGGGCGGCGCCAGTGAAATCCCGAAGGGTTGGTTTTTGCTTGTCTTCCCGTCAAGAAGAAGTAACAGGCTTCAAAAGTTGGCGACACCGCCACCCCACCACCCACACCGTT